AGCTTTTATCAAAAATGGGTGTTGAATTTTGTCAAATGCTTTTTCTGCATTAATTGATATGACCATGTGGTTTTTTCCTTTCAATTTGTTTATGTGATGTATCACGTTTATTGATTTGCAGATATTGTACCATCCTTGCATCTCTGGGATAAATCCTACTTGGTCATGGTGTATGATCTTTCTGATGTACTGCTGGATCCGATTTGCTAAGATTTTGTTGAGGATTTTGGCATCTATGTTCATGAGGGATATTGGCCTGTAATTCTCTTTCATTGTGTTGTCTTCACCTGGTTTTGGTATTAGGGTGATGCTGGCTTCATAGAATGAGCTTGGAAGTGTTCCTTCCTCTTGAATTTTTTGTAGTAGTCTGAGGAGGATAGGTTTTAGTTCTTCCTTGAATGTTTGGTAAAACTCCCCTGTGAAGCCGTCTGGTCCTGGGCTTTTGTTTGCTGGAAGCTTTTTGATGACTGCTTCAATTTCTTCCATAGTTATTGGCCTGTTGAGATTTTTAGATTCTTCCTGATTGAGTTTTGGAATGTTGTATTTTTTCTAGGAATTTGTCCATTTCCTCCAGGTTGTCTAGTTTGTTGGAGTAGAGCTGTCCATAGTATTTTTTAACAATCATTTGTATTTCTGTGGGGTCTGTTGTTATTTCGCCTCTATCGTTTCTGATTTTGTTTATTTGAGTCCTCTCTCTTTGCTTCTTGGTGAGTCTGGCTAGAGGTTTGTCAATCTTGTTTATCCTTTCAAAGAACCAGCTCTTGGTTTCATTGATTTTCTGTATTGTTTTTTTGGTCTCTATGTCATTTATTTCTGCTCTAATCTTTATTATCTCCTTCCTTCTGCTCACTCTGGGGTTTTCTTGTTGCTCTCTTTCTAATTCTTTGAGTTGTAGAGTTAGATGATTTACTACCATTTTTTCTTGTTTTTTGAGATAGGCCTGTAGAGCTATAAACTTCCCTCTCAGGACTGCTTTCATTGTGTCCCATAGGTTTTGGATTGTTGTGTTTTCATTGTCATTAGTTTCCAGGATGTTTCGAATTTCTTCTTTGATCTCATTGGTAACCCAATCAATATTTAATAGCATGCTATTCAGCTTCCAGGTGTTTGAGTATTTTGGGTTGTTTTTATTGTAGTTTATTTCTAATATTATGCCATCGTGGTCTGCGAAGATGCTTTTTATGATTTCAATCTTCTTGAATTTGGGGATACTTTGCTTGTGACCCAATATATGGTCTATTTTTTAATATGTCTTATGAGCATTTGAGTAGAATGTATATTCCCTGGCTTTGGGGTGGAGTGTTCTGAAGATGTCTATTAAGTCCATCTGATCTAGTGAGTCATTTAGGATTGCTGTATCTTTGCTGATTGTTTGTCTAGAGGGCTTATCCAGTGCTGTCAGTGGTGTATTAAAGTCCCCTACTATGATTGTATTGTTGTCGATCTCTCCTTTGATATCTTCCAGGAGTTTTTTTTATGAATTTGGGTGCTCCTGCATTGGGTGCATATATGTTTACCAGGGTAATATCTTCTTGTTGTATTGATCCCTTTAGTATTATGAAGTGGCCTTCCTTATCTCTTGTTATGGCCTTCACTTTGAGGTCTATTTTGTCCGATATAAGTGTTGCTACCCCAGCTTTCTTTTCCTTTCCATTTGCCTGAAAGATATTTTTCCATCCTTTCCCTTTCAGTCTGTGTGAGTCCCTTCTAATGAAGTGGGTTTCTTGTAGACAGCAGATGTATGGGTCATGTTTTTTTATCAATTCAGCCACTCGATGTCTTTTGTTTGGAGCATTTAGTCCATTTACGTTTAAAGTTATTATTGAAAGGTACTTGTTTGTAGCCATTTCTGTTTTTGTGTGGCTGTTTTCTTTCTGAGCTTTTTATTTCTTATTTTTATACCAGTCCCTTTAGCATTCCTTGCATTGCTGGCTTGGTGGTGATAAACTCCCTTAGCCTTTTTTTGTCTGTGAAGCTTCTTATTTCCCCTTCAAGTTTGAATGATAGCCTTGCTGGATAGAGTATTCTTGGATTCAGTCCTTTGCTTTGCATCACTTTGTAAATTTCTGTCCATTCTTTTCTGGCCTGATGTGTTTCTGTTGAGAAATCATTTGACAATCTAATGGGAGATCCCTTGTATGTAACTTTCTGTCTCTCTCTTGCAGCCTGTAAGATTCTCTCTTTGTCCTGAACATTTGCCATGGTAATTATGATGTGTCTTGGTGTGGGTCTTTTCGGATTCACCTTGTTTGGGACTCTCTGGGCTTGTGTGACTTTTTTCTTTCCCACCTGAGGGAAGTTTTCTGATATTATTTCTTCTAATAGGTTTTCTAATCCTTGTTCATCCTTCTGTTGTTCTGGTACCCCTATTATTCGTATGTTGTTTCGTGTCATGTTGTCCCAAAGCTCCCTTAGGCTCTCCTCCTGTCTTTTCATTTTTTTCTCCAATTGCAGTACATTTTGGGTGTGTTTTGCTTCCTTGTCTTCTAATTCACTAATTCGGGTCCTCCGCTTCTCCTAGTCTACTGTTGATACTCTCAGTGGAGTTTTTCATTGCAGCTATATCACTCTTCATTTCTTCTTGGGTCTTACTTAAGTTGTTGATTTTTTCATCTGTTTCTTCTAGCTTCTTCCATATGTTATCGATTTTTTCATCTGTTTCTTCTTGCTTCTTGCAGAGGTTGTCGATTTTTTCTTCCATCAGGTTTATGCACTCTAGGACCCTTATTCTGAATTCTTTTTCTGTCATGTTGCATGCCTCTGTATTACTTAGCTGCTTTTCTGGAGAGTCCTCCTTCTCTTTCCTTTGGGGGTTTCTTTGTCTACCCATGTTTGATCTCACTGACATATCTAGACGTTGAGTCGTTCAGTGGTTGCTCCCTTGGTGACAGTGACTCCTTGGTCTGTGGTTGCTCTTCGGGCGGTTGCGGTAGCAGATGCTCTTCAGTTGGCAGCAGCTCCTCTGGTGGGTGCTGTTCACAGCTGAGGTGGCTCTTCTGGCTGGTGGCGTGAGGTTTCACGTACAGCTGCTGTTCCTCAGCAGAGGGTGTGGTGCTCTGTAGGTTGCTGTAACTTCGATCTGCTGCGTTGATTTAAAGGCAAAAAATACAACACAACAAGGCACCACGTACCAGGCAGTATACACAAATATATTCATGATATTAATAACCCCAAATAAAGGTGACCACCCGAATTAAGAGAATTAGGGGATAAGGAGGAAGGAAGGGAAAAAGATAAAAGAGAAAAAAGAAAAGTAGGGACCAAAAAAAGGAGTACAAAAATGAAATTGGGAAAAAGGAGGGGGGAAAATAAAAGCGAGAAAAGAAAAGAAAAGAAAAGAAAAGAAAAGAAAAGAAAGAAAAGAAAAAAAAAGAAAGAGAAAAAAGAAAAAAAAAGAGCGAAAAGAGAGAATGAAGTGGAAGAGGGGAAGAGACTTTTTATATGAGGAGAATACTCCTATAGAACAGCCATTAATCCCAACAGATTCCAGCAACAGCTCCCTGGAGATGAATGCAAACTAGAAACAACCAATAATATAACTATGAAAATAGAATGGAGAACACTAATCCCAAATTAAAATAAAGAGAAAATAAAATGGCACTTTAAAAAAAATGGTAAAATGGTAGCAGTAATAATACTGGTTAAAAATAAGAAGGTAGTAATTAAAAGGGTAAAATCAGGTGATGGAAAAAGAAGAAAAAAAAATAAGAAAAAAAAAGAAGAAGAAAAAAAAGAAAAAAAAATTGGTTTCTTAGTTAAAAGGTGAAAAAAGGAAAAAAAAATTGCAGTAGTGAAGGTCCTTCGGTTCTTCTGTTCTTCAGTGTGGCTCGCCTTAGACCTGCCAGGTATTCAGGAGAGTGTTGAGTTTCCCTATGATACACTGTTCCTCTGTGTTGTAAACCACAGTCCTTATTTTATAGCAGGCCGCATTTGTTTCCCAGACTGCCTTATTTTGTGTTTGGCAAAGAGTCAGTTTGTGGGTCAGCCTCTGGGTGGCAGTGTTCTGGGGTTGGTCTCTGAGGCTATAGGGCCTCTCTGTCCAGTGGAAGTTCACTGCCCAGAGCTGGCTGCGTAATAGTTAGTTACTGGCGCTGTGTTGTTGCTGGGATTGAAAATCCCTCTATAGGCCAGACCCTGTTAACTCCCAGGGACTGATCATGTTATTTTAATCCTTGATCTCATACAGGGTGGAATCTGGGTGTGGCTGTGCTCCTTGCCTGGGGGCTGGGGGGAGGAGTCTCACTCTCTGGAGAGAATGGCTGCCCCAGTCCTGGGCTCAGGGGTGTCTCAGCACTCAATTCGCTGCCACCTCTCCCGGCCCCCCTTCTCTCCTCAGTCTCTCCCCAGATTCCACTCCTCCGCACACTCTCCCTCTCTTCAGCACAGGTGAGTGTCTGTATCCGAAATGTCCCATGAACAGGATTCAGTAAAAACAAACAAACAAACGCCGGCCGCAGAAACGGGAAAGGCTTGGTTTCTGTAAGCTTCTTCTCTTACCGGGACTGCATGGTCTGGTCAGCTCTTCAGGCTGCCCCCTTTAGGCTCAGTCCTCTGTGATCACAGAACCCAGCTCTCAATTCCCCAGTGGCGCCAGGAATCCCGCGGTTCTCCTTTCCCCCGTCAGGGGCTGTGCCTGTCCCAAGGGACGCGGCTGTCTGCCACGCGGTCTCCCTCCGACTCTCCCAATATTTTTCTTATATTTTGACATATCTATCTACAGATAGATATAGGTGTAGATATAGATATAGATGATATAGACATAGATAGATATACATATACATATACATATACATATACATATACATATACATATACATATACATATACATATACATATTCATATACATATACATAGATATAACTAGACACTGTGCTAGATACAATAGGGGTAAAGAAATAAGAAGCCAAGTCTAGCAAGCCAAGTTTTGCTTTTGAGACTATTGTGAAAAACATGACAAGAAAACCATGAGATAGCTCTGATTTCACCGACCACCTGCAAGATGGCACTGAAAGTCAAGAAGACTAAGAGGACAACCTGGAAGTTTAGTTTGGACTTTACTTATCTAGTAGAAGATGTAATTTTTGATTCTGCAAATTTTGAACAGTTTCTACAGGAGAAGGTTAAAGTCAATGGGAAAACTGGAAATCTTGGGAATGTTGTTCACATTGAATGCTTCAAGAATAAAATCACAGTTGTTTCTTACAAACAATTCTTTAAAAGATATTTGAAATACCTTACTAAGAAATACCTTAAGAAGAATAGTCTTTGTGATTGGTTTCGTGTGGTTGCATCTGACAAGGAGACATACGAACTTCGTTACTTCCAGATTAGTCAAGTTGAAGATGGATCTGAATCTGAGGACTAGGTGAAGGCACCTTATATAGGGCTTTGCTTACTAATAAAACATATGAAGTGTGCCAAGAGAAACATCTAGAAATGGACTTTTAGTTTATCATTGAATAAAAAATGTAATACTCTATTTAAAAAAATGAGAGAATAGTTGGCTCACCTCTGAATAACTTACAGTATAGCTTTGTAATGGTTCTGCCACTATATACATACAAGTTCAAGTAAAGCCCTATAATTCTGTTTAATTTAATATATGTATGCAGGAAGTGTTTTATCAAAAACTCCCATGATATCTGGCAAGACTTCATTAAAGAAAAGTTGATTTATAACTGTCAGATTAGATGTTAGAAAGGATTTCATGGAATCTGATGTATTTTCTTATTGGCTTCACAGACAAACACAATTTCTATCTGCTAAACTGCATCAACTATCTTCTAGTTGATTTTCACTAAAATGCCAATTATATTTCCATGTCGCAAATATGATTCCAGTGATCATTGTTGGTTTATGAGAAACAAATTGTGCTGAACATGAACCAAATGTAATTGATTGTCTGGTGATCAGATGTGCTAAAGGACATTATAAAACTGACATAACCCATTTTTTCTACATAAGGTAATATTGATTTTAAAAAGTAAAGCTATAGAACATATACCTACCTCACCAATACAATTTCTTTCTACTTCAGATAACACCAGTCTGAAACAAAAACAAAAAACTCTTGTCAAAATAAATATTTGAGCTTAAACTAAAACTCAACAGAAAATATTGGACTAGGATAGACATAGAGGCCTGTACTTGAAAATTGATTTTCTCAAAATAGTTCTCAAAAAAAAAATATCAACCTAGAGACAAAGTGTCAATTATAAATAATCTCCTTATGGAACTAATTATAAAGACATGCTTAGGCCCTGCCGATGTTGCTCAGTGGTTGAGCACTGACCCATGAAACAAGAGGTCGCTGGTTTGATTCCCAGTCAGGGCACATGCCCGTTTGCAGGTTGGATCCCCAGTAGAGGGTGTGCAGGGGCAGCCAATTGATGTTCTGCTCTCACATCACATGGATGTTTCTATCTTCTATCTTTCTCTTCCTTCTCCATCTTCCTCTTTCTCTAAAAAAAAAAAAAAACACAAACAAACAAACAAACAAACAAACAAAACACACACACACACACACACACACACACCAATCAATAAAAGCATATTTTTAAAAAGAAATACTCAGGTCCTAACTGACTTTGCTCAGAGCATCAGCCCGTGGATTGAAGGGTTTCGGGTTCAATTCCAGTCAATGGCATGTACCTCGGTTGTAGGCTCGATCCCCGGCCCCAGTCAGGGTGTGCGTAAAAGGCAACAAATTGATGTGTTGCTCTCACATCAATATTTCTCTCTCTGTCTCTCCCCGTCCCTTCCACTCTCTCAAAAAAATATCCTCCGGTGACAATTAACAACAACAACAAAAAAGAAATAATTGGGAATTAAAAGGGATTTGGGTTCTTTAGACACTTTAGAAGTGGAGTGAAAGGAACCCACGAAAGTGGCTTGTATCTGTTGACCACCGCTCAGGAAAAAGGGACTGATTCCATGGATGTTTTGCTTTATTTCCATAATGCTAAAGACTTTTCTGGCAGCATTAGTAGTTGAGATCCATTAGTATGATGGGAAAACTTTGGGAAGAAAGGAAAACTAATCTAATAAAAACTAAGGTAGCCTTGGCCGATTTGGCTCAGTAGAGTGTGGGCTTGTGGACTGAAGGACTCCAGGGTTCTATTCCAAGGGCACATGCCTGGGTTGTGGGCTTGATCCCCAGTTGGGGGGGTGCAGGAGGCAGCTGATCAATGATTCTCATCATTGATGTTTCTGTCTCTCTTTTCCTGTCCCTTCCTCTCTGAAATAAATATATATATATATATATATATATATATATATATATGTATATATTTTTTAAAAAATATATTTTATTGATTTTTTACAGAGAGGAAGGGAGAGAGATAGAGAGTTAGAAACATCGATGAGAGAGAAACATCGATCAGCCGCCTCCTGCACACCCCCTACTGGGGATGTGCCTGCAACCCAGGTACATGCCCTTGACCGGAATCGAACCTGGGACCTTTCAGTCTGCAGGCCGATGCTCTATCCACTGAGCCAAACCGGTTTCGGCAATAAAAATATATTTTAAAAAAACTAAGGTAAGAGCAGCAAAGAAATTTTTGTTTATTATTCTAGCTTCCTTGAATACTTATAAATTGAGCAAAGAAATTTTCTGCGAAAGACATAACAGTGACTGCGCCCTGAACAAATTCCTTCTTTCACAATGTTTTGTTCATCTGTTAGCAACAGATATGGACATATTGAGGGTCATTGATAAAGGCAAAGGGGTCCACTTAGGATGATCAATACATTCCCAAGGACAGCAGCCAAGCAGATAAACAAGCAATAGGGAACACACATATGCTTAGTGTGAGAGCAGGTCAGGAGTCAACAACAGATAGCCAGAAGGCATCAGGCCTGTGAAGACTAGAGTAGTTCAACAGTCAAAGCAGGTGGGAGAGTTAGAATCCAAGGAGTCATAAAATGTCAAAACTGTCAAGGAGAGAACTAAGGAAGCCTCAGTTGATGTTACCTGCCACCTTCACCACAAAGTGAAAAGTGTAAAACTGAAGTCCACAGATGAGAAGTAATTTGTCTAGAGTCACATCCCAAACTGAAAATATGAAGGTGATGACAATCCACATATTTTGTTTCTCAGTCTAGTTATTTCAGCATATGGCACTGCCTGTTTATAGTTGATTAAAACATAATTTGGATCCATGTTTACTATGCTCAAAGACACTGTGCTAGTTTACAATGGGGGTACAGGAAAATAAAAAGTCAAGTCCAGCAAGTAAATATAGTTAATAATAAGTGCTCATTGATTGAGCACTTATTTCCTAGGCACTAGGCTAAATGCTTTACCACATACTGCCATTTAATTTCACAACAACCTTATTGGATATAACAGCCACATTCTAAAGGTGGGGAAAATTGAGGTTTAGAAAAGATAATTTTCTCTAGACTACATTACTAATAATTGCTGAAGATGGGGCTTAAAAGTGAAGATTCTCTGATTTAGTGCCCTAATGCCTAACTTCATTGTTATACTGAAGTTAACAACTACTCCTGTATGTAGGCTGCATGTGGCTCCTTTCCCAGAATATTAAGTTTAAAACCTACAATTAAGATAAATACAGTTAAGATAAATACAGTTGACCTGAATAACATAGAAGTTAGGACACTACCCTGACCTGCAGTCAAAATTTTATGTATAAGTTTTAAGTCCCCAAAAACATATCTACTAAAAGCCTACAGAGTGCAATCCTTATTGATAATATAAACAGTTGATTAAGACATATTTTGTATGTTATTTGTATTATATACTATATTCTTACAATAAAATAAGCTAGAAAAATAAAAATACTAAGAAAATCATGACAAATATATTTACAGTATTGTATGCATTTACTGAAAAAAAACTCATATAAGTGGACTTACACAGTGCAAAACCATGTTGTTCAAGGGTCAACTGTAATTGGTAGTAGTTGAATACAGAAGGAAAGAATAGTAGAAGCTTCTAGTGAGCACAGCTTGGTACTAAATAAAGTGAATTTTGTATCCCATATATTTGTTTTGAAGTTATTCCTTTCTGGATTATTGTAAAAATATATATTTAGAATAGAGAATTTCAAATATGGAGAAAGGTACATAGATAAAACATCCCTGAAATTCTTAGTAATCCCAGCAAATATACAAAGATATAAGTTGTTAACATTGTAGGATTTCTTTCCAGTATGGTATATGTGAGTGTGTTTAATTAAAAATGTACTAGTATATATGGTCTTTTCTATTTTTATAAAAGTAAGATCATATTATATAGACTGTTTTATAAACTTTTTAGAGTAAGATTATGAGCATTTTTTATATCTGTAAATATGCAACACCATCATGTTATAACTTAATAGTGTTTTGTTCTATTGATATGTTTTAATTATTTATTTTTCTATTGCTTAATATTTCAGTTGTTTATGATCTTTTCTATTTTAAAAATAATGGGTTGTGAGTATATTTCTGATAATTGTTTTAAATAGAGTCCTACAAAAGGAATTAGTAGTCCAAAGCTTATAAACATTATTAAAACTCTTGATTTATATTGTCAGATTGCTTTCTATAAATGCTATACCAATTTGTTCCTGACAACCCGTATTTAATGGTGCCAATTTTTCTGCTCTTTCACTCCATGCTTTCCCTCTTGAAGAATCTAGTGGTAACCTTTTGGGGGGATATAATCCATAAACATTAAAATAATACTTAATTTCATTCCAGGACCATGCTAATTTCTCAAATTATTATTTAAGGTCACATGCTCAAATTAAACCACCGGGTACTGATTAGTGATTCTGTAATTGAATCGATGTGAGTGTGTCTAAACTTCTAAGACTAGCATATTTTCTTTTTTATTGAGGTCACATTGGTTAATAATTATATAATTTTCAGGTGTACAACACTATAATTCAATAGCTTAATATGCTTTTACTTACTCACTAGCAAAAGACTACTTTCCATCAATTAACATATAGTTGACCCCACCCAAAGAATATATAGTATATATATTTTCTCATAAAAAAATATGTTACTGATGATGTTTTGGATGATGATGATGATAATGGACATAAATACTACTACTATCCATTATGTATGGTAGAAAACTGAGATAAGGTTAATTAACGTGTTTACAGTCAGACAGCTAATTTTTGGCAAAGCTGGAAATAACACTCTCATCAATTTGACTTCAGAATCTGTGAATTGAAGCACTAAGATACTAACTCTCTCTTCACTGAGGTGCATATCAAAAAGTCTACAATGTCTTTCAAACTTTTTCCATTATGTTAAATAAACAAAAAAGGAAATAAAAACACAGGTTTATGCTTCTAAAGCAGCCATTTTCAACCTTTTTCATCTCATGGCTCATATAAACTAATT